ACATCTATTGTTTGCTCAGAAATGTAGCACCTGCCTATGTGTTTGTGTAGTTTGTGTGCATATGTCAAATGATAATTCAGAGTGACTTATGAGGTCGTATTATGCTAGTAGGATTGATTTTATTGAAGCTGTAGTGGTGATTATGATGTCATCGGATGAGATAAGTTGACATGTTCCCATGGGGATAATGTGACTGTTGGAGTTCTCCTAATTGATCATTTAACAGTGCAGCTTGTTCAGTAATGTTTGTAAAGAAGTGCTGCATTCTATTAAAGAGCTCCCTCATAATCGTCGCTGCTTGGGGGCATTTCCAATTTTTAAGAGACCGCTTGCCAAAATAATTTCTCACTGTTGCAAGCAACAATAATGTAGTTTGTTTCACGCTTTAAGATGCACAAGCAAAACATTTTGAGTGGTAAATAGTGTGCCGTCTCTTTAAATGATCCGTCAAATGCTGTTTTACATCAGATAAGCCACATTTGGTAAAATTACATTACCCATGTGGATGAGGTCACCGTGTGATCTGCTCCTGTTTGCATGAGGCAGGAAACACACACAGACACTGGATGTTTCACTGGAAGTGCACCACGTCTTTGAAGCAATTGTGCTTCACTTAAATGGCATGATTCCTAGCCTTGACATTTTTATGTATTTATTATCTGCAAAGCTCCTGCAGATTGTTTTCGTGTGGCACAGTCTGATAACTCCATCTGCTACTGTGTGCGATAAGTCTGTTTGAAATGAGATTTTTGGATGGGCCACGAGGTTGGGTTAGTCCCTTGAATGTTTTGGTGTCCATTTCATTATTGTATCGTGGCATTTAGATGCAATGCATACTGGGAATTTCCCAGATAAGATCTGGCAGCTCGCACAGGATAGCTCCAATAACCTTGTGCTGTGGATTAAGATCAGTTGTTAAACCTTATAAAGGCATAAAGCAAATGTGATGCACACTCAAATTGAATTTGCTTCTGTAAGCCTTCTATGATTCAGTTGTTTGTAGAGCTTTATTTATATGAATAATAGTTGTACTAACAACACATGACTTTGGAATAGTTCACCCATAAATGACAATTGTTATCATTTACTCATCCTAATGCCATTCCAAACCTGATGGAGTTTCTGTCTTCCATAGAGCACAAAAGATGAATTTATGAATGTTTGTGCTGCTCTTTTTCATACAACAACATATTGAGGCCGGGACCTGTCATGCCCCAAAAGGACAGACAGATGTACAGATATGGCCAATACAACTTAAGCTCTATATTCCATGTCATCTAAAACCATACTATAAGAAAAGGCAGACTTTATACTGCTGTTCAAATATTTTTTAGTTTTTTAATACTGTTTTATGTTCGCCAAGGCTGTATTTTTATTTGATCAAAAATACAGTGAAAATAGTAATATTGTGAAATATTATTGCAATATAAAATGTTTTCTATATGAATGTATTTTAAAATGTAATTTATTAATGTGATGGTAAAGCTGAATTTTCAGCGTTATTACTCCAGTCTTCAGTGTCACATGATCCTTCAGAAATCATTCTAATAGGCTGATTTGCTGCTCAATATTTTTGTGCATTTTTTAAAGAATTATTTGATTTAGGTTTAAAAACAGCATTTATTTTAAATAGAAACCTTTTTAACATTCTAAATGTTTTTACTGTCACTTTTGATCAATTTAAAGGGGTCATATGATGCGATTTACATTTTTCATTTCTCGACGAAGCGGAGTCCAGCCCGGGGTCGCCACATGTGGTTGCCGCAAACCCGCCGCCCGTTCCTCACTCAAGCCGGCCTCCGCTCACTCTAGGCCGCCGGCCATTCCTCACTCAAGCCCGCCGTGTATGACGCTGTGTGTTTCGTTGTGAAAGTGAAAATACTTTAGCCACACCTACCTAAAACGCCTCGTTCTAACACGCCGCCACATGTCTACCTCACTATGTGGAAATGTTAGCATAACGCCGCCCAAACGTTCACGCAAAGAAAGGCGGCGTAACTTTTATTCTCGCTGTAGTATTGTTGTTGCCGCCGCCATGTCGTGAAGACGCGGTGTGCTTCGTTGTGAAAGCGAAACTACTTTGTTTGGTCTTACAAAAGAGGACGATATCCGCTTCGTCATGCCTGGAGCTGATCCGTGCTGGTCGCTGAGGGAATTCATCAACTTCGTGCTGTGGATCGCCGGATCGGCTTTCACTGTGGACGAAGTGGAGTCCAGCCCGGGGTCGCCACATGTGGTTGCCGCAAACCCGCAGCCCGTTCCTCACTCAAGCCGGCCTCCGCTCACTCTAGGCCGCCGGCCATTCCTCACTCAAGCACGCCGTGTATGACGCTGTGTGTTTCGTTGTGAAAGCGAAACTACT